CTGACCTCTCCGAGCCTGCTTATTCACCTGTAGAATGGCAGGGTTACTGCTGTCAGGGGATCACGAGGGTTAAAGTAAGGGACACCAATGAGTGTAGGGCCCACAGGAACATCGGTTCCTCCTCTCTATTGCCCACCGAAAGGACATGAGACACTAGAGGTGTCAGGTTTTCCTGGGGAACCCAGGGTTCCCTTCTCTGGGTCCTGGAATAACCAGAAAGGAAACAAAGCTCTGAAGGCTCGGGCTGCTGGCACTACCGGCAAGGCCTGGACTGGATGTTCTGGGGGTGCCCTCTGTGGGTGTCAGACTGGTCACATTCCCAAGCAGGCTGCTGTCTGGGTGCCTGTCAGGGTTGCCCAGCTCAGAGTGGCCAGAAGACCTCATGCCTGCCTCTACCAGCACCATCCACCATCTGCAAACCCCTTTGTGTTCAATTTCCCCAAGACCAGGCATTTGTAGGCAACCGGAGGACTGTTTTAATGAAAGATCTGTTCCTTCCTAGCACAAAGCTAAAGAGACTGACCACCAAGGCCACCCACCCCATGCTGGAATGCACCGCAGTCCCGAGACCCTGTCTGCGGGTCTCCCAGGGCAGAGAAGGCCCAGCAGACACCAGGCATGACCAGCTCTTCCTCTTTCCTTGCAGATGATGATGAGCACGAGTGGATCATCAAGACGTGTCCCAAGGGTTGGGACGAAATCGTGGGTCACCGACCCAAGCTGTGAGCTCTGCAGCTGCCCCCATGAGAGGTCTCCTCTACACCGCTGGCAGTGGCTGGCCCTGCGGGCAGCCTGCGGTTACAGACCCTGACTTTCGACCCAGGAATAAAGCCTTTCTGCACTCAGTGGCCCCAAGCATACTTTCTCGAGACCGTTTCTTAGAGAGGGGATCCTCATTTTACCAGCACCAAAATCACCTGGGCGGAAGTGCAAATTAGCTATTTCCGGGCCCCACCGTAGACATGCTGGTCAGAGTCTCTGGGAATAGGGTCTAGCGATCTGCACTCCCAGCTGCATTCCCTGATGCGCTCTTATTTCCCAGGTATTCCTCAACATCACCCCGAAGATCACATGTCAGCTGAAAACCAGAAGAGGAAGGGGTGGCACATTCCAGGGCCACACTTGGGCCACAGCATCCTGGATCTTTGCATAACTGTCCCTCCTTAGAGGCTGCTGCATTCAGCAGCCCACCCCACCCCCACTTTGTCCCTGGCTCACCAAGAGCTGCTAGAAGAAGGCAAGCCTGTGAAGGCTCTGACAAGGTCTGCAGGGGCAGGAAACTGACCCTCAAACCAGGGACCCAGAGTTGGCATGCTAGGCAGAGTTAGAAGTCAGAGGGCGGCCTGGGCACACTCAGCTGCACCATGGAGGGGTCCTGGGGGATTACCTCTCCCCTCTGGGGCAACAGTCACCTCTGTAGAATGATAGGGTTGAGCTCCACAGAGGTCTCTGAACTGTGTTTTGAAAACAGAAGGGACATTCATGGAAAGAAGCGCACACGCGCGCGCGTGCGCACACACACACACACACACACACACAACTTTTTTCAAAGAAACACACATATCTAAATCAACATTTGATAAATGGATTGGAAGAAGGGTGGAGAGGGGTGCGTCCGACTTCAGCTCAGGTCATGAACTCGCGGTTTGTGGGTTCGAGCCCCACATCAGGCTCTGTGCTGACAGCTCAGAGCCTGGAGCCTCCTTTGGATTCTGTGTCTCCCTCTCTCCCTGCCTCTCCCCTGCTCATGGTCTGTCTCTCTCTGTCTCTCAAAAATGAATAAATGTTAAGAAAAAAAAAAAAACCTGTATCACATTAAAAAAAAGGGGGGGTGGAGAGGGGCAGAGATGGGGTCTGGGATACTGAATAAAACAATAAAGACGGGTCCTGGGGCGCCTGGGTGGCTCAGTCGGTTAAGCATCCGACTTCCGCTGAGGTCACGATCTCACGGTCCATGAGTTCGAGCCCCGTGTCGGGCTCTGTGCTGACAGCTCAGAGCCTGGAGCCTGCTTGGGATTCTGTGTCTCCCTCTCTCTCTGCCCCTCCCCTGCTCCTGCTCTCTCTCTCTCAGTCTCAAAAATAAATAAACATTAAAAAAAAAAATAAAGACAGGTCCTGCAGGGGTGATGACCATGTACATCTTGAGCTGAGGTTTATGAACAACTCTCTGCAGGGCCGGGGGCGGGGGGGCTTGGGAAGCCTCTGCACTAGACAGGGCCACTCCACCCCCTTCCTCGAGAGCTTTGGTTTGAACCAACAGTTTGTTGCTAAAAGACAAGCTGGCAACGAGCAGAAAGATGCTCTCTCTCACTCCCCAGATTGTGTTGGCTCTAGAACCCAATAGGCCAGTGTGAGACCCAGACTTGTATCAAAGCTAGAGCCTTGTCTCCCTGCCTCCCATCCCCTATTCCCTTCAATTCACCAGACCAAATTCTCCTGCAGCTTCCAAACAGGCGCTTCTGCGCTTCTTTCCCCGGCCCCCAACATCCCCTCTTTTGCACCTATTCCGTGAATCTCTCAGCGGATATATCTGGCCCAAACGTCCCCCAACCTGGCCCCCACAGCATGTCGGAGGGATCCGTCTGCTATAGCACTGACCAGACTGACAGCTCCTCTGTGGCTAGTGGGCCAGGCCCTTCCCTGAGCCTGCAGACAGCGGGTGTTCAGGAGTGACACCGAGGACAGCAGCCAGCCTGGCCGCCTACAAAGCTTAGACTGGAGACGGAGCTCACTGTCATGCCTTTGCAATGCACAGGTGGCTGACTGGTTAATAGCACCGATTGTCCAGGAAGGGGGACTGCATTGTCTGACAGCCCAGACACTTGGGTGGGCCCCTGGCAGTGGCTCGGACATGGGCTTCCGGAGGCTGCGGGGCAGTTGTGGGGAGCCCTTAGCCAGACAGCAGGAAAGAAATGGAATCCCATCATGTTCTGGATTTAAGTGCCAGCACTTCTACTTGCATTAACTTTATTTATTACACAAATAGGACATTTACAAAGCACAACATGAAAGGTATGTAACAAAACAGACATTGGTTTTACAAAAAAAGTGCTTACATTTTTTTTTTTTCCGTGTGTGTGTTTTCTCCCTCTGTTTTGTATTTAAATAAATAGTCTTGGTGGCCTGTGTGTTCCCAGGCTTCCCAGGCTGCTCTAACAGGCTAGTGGAGACCTGTCTGAATGGCAACATGCTACAACCACATGATCCACGCAAGGAACAGACCCTGGGGTGGGGGGAGGCTCAAGGCAGAGTGGGTACGAGGTGACCCACTTGGGCAGGGCTTGGCTGGCCACTTACCACATGGTTGTGCTCAGGGCTTCGACATCAGGAGCAAAAATCAAAGGAAACAGAGCTCCCCAATCACCAGGGATCAGGCCCCAGCTCCTTTTGTTAACATCAGCACCCTGTGCATGGCCAGGTACGAGCTATTCAGTGGATGAGCTCTGAACTGAGCTGCACTGACCGCATTCTGGTGCTACCTTCTCTTGGCCCCGAGTCACCTGGAACGGTCTTCAGAAGGGAAAGGAAGCGGGTTCCCGACTTGGGCTATACCTGGGCCTGGCCCTCCTCCAGGTCCCAGGGCGAGAAAGGCAAATAGGTTTTTGTTTTAAGTGCCAGCTTCAAGCATTTGGATATCGAAACCTTATCCAGACTCAGAGAGACAGAGACATGCAATCAATTAGCGACGCCTACCACCTTTGACAACAGGGACAGCCGGTACATACGTGCCATGAACTTGCTTTCCCTGTCCTGGGGTCTCCTTCCAAGAGCAGCAGGTCAGGCTAACCAAAGCAGGAGGGAGGATTCGGGCTAGCACATGCCTACCAGCAGCCTCTAGTGGGAAATGCATCAGGACACCAAGTAATTCTGAAATTACAGGAGAAGTCTGGGACAAATGGGCGTCCCCTGAAAACATAAATCATGGTCTTGTGCAGCCGAAGCCCTTTTGTTTGGGGCGAAGAGTTGCGGCACAGCGGGGTGGATGTGAGCACAGCTGTGTCTGGCCTGCGTTCTCGGGAGTGGGTGGGGCTGGCTCTGGGCAGGGGTGGTGGGGAGTGCCCGCTGGGATCCTAGGCTTGGCACACTCACCTCCGCAGCAGGTCCCTTCTCTCTACTCAGAGCCGGGTTCAGAATCCGCATTCTGCCATTTCCCAGGGCTCTGTTTCTCCAGCTCCGCCCCGCCTCCACTGAACGGCCCCTCCAAGGAAGACATGACCCAAACGCCCCTATCAGGAGTCAACAAGTAGCCAGTGAGGGCTCCCGATTCTAACCCCGAAACGTTCAGAAATGCCGGCGTGCGTTTCATACACCAGCTCCGTGTATATGGCTGGGTGACTAGGTAGGAACAGTCTTCCCCCTAAACACCCCGAGTTTTCTCTTCCCTCTCCTTAAAAGAGCTCGTGCCTCCCCCAGCCCACTATGCCACATGCTTCTCCAATGGGAGCCTCTGCCGCCCCCTCCCCCCGGTCCCTGCCGATCCCCTGCCTCTTGGTCTGGGCAGGGCTCCATCTCTGCCCTGCTGGGCCTCTCAGGGTTGGTCAGTGTCTCTTCTCTCTCTGAATTAACTTGACATAACCAGACAGATGGAAATGATAAAATTAGAACATAGCTTTCCTTTGGGGACATCCCACAAACACTGTAGAGTTTTCCAGACAAAAGCAACAGAGTGGATAACATTGGGGGGGGTTGTCGGCTATTCAGAATTCAGAGATGGTTGCAAGGAAGTAGTAAATAAAGGCCAATATGGGAGGAAAGAAAACCTGTAAATTAGAAGGCTGTTGGCGTTGCACGGTTCAATTTGGCCTTTTGCTATTGTAATCAGCTTAAGTTGAAGATGACTCCTGTCTAAGTGGAAACACAGGCCGTTGTTTTCGCCCTGATTCCAAATTTCAGGGAGCTCTGCCTTGGGAGAGGAGGACTCCGCAGTGCTCTTGGCAGGTTCTGGTTCTCAGCAGGAGAAGGGAAGGCCAGGCCCGGGGGCCCGGCTGGCGGCGGGCGGGACGGTGGGCGAGGGGCGGGTGCGGAGCGGGTGGGCCCCTGGCAGTGGCTCGGGCACCGGCTTCCGGCGGCTGCGGGGCAGTTGTGGGGCGCCCGCGGACGGATGCGGAAGTGCCAACGGCGCTAGTACTGGAAAAGAATGACCTGCGAGAGGAGGAGGGGGAGGGGGCTGAGCTGGGGCCAGATACCCCCGCCCTGGCCCCCTGCAGCCCCGCTCCCCCCAGAGGTCCTCTGAAGGCATGGAGAATGAGGGTGGCTCGGGGCCCAGATCTGGGTTCCAATCCTAGCTCTGTCACTCGCGGCGAGACCCTGGGCAACTCACTGCCCGTTTCCTCATCTGCATAACGGGGATGACAAAACCTCTCTCTCAGAATGGGGAGGGTTCAGTGAGACACAAGGGCAGCAGCACATGTCTACTGGGCACTGTGCCCTGCTCCTGGTGCCGTGTAACGTGCCTTCCTGACGTTATGTAACAGAAGACTCAACCCCATGGGCGCATCCCGCCATTGTCTCCATTTGACGGGAGGGCACTGAGGGGGGCAAGAGAGGGGCAGGTCAGGAAGCTCACGATCACACAGCTAGGCAGAGGTGGCCCTGGGTCCCGCAACACAGTACTGGCCCCAGACCAAGCTCTCTTTGTTGTAACGTGTCGCTTCTGCGAGGCCATGGGGACAGTAGTCATCGACGCTCACTACACATCAGGCAGCGGGCCAAGCCCTTCACGCACTTCATCATCACCAAGCCAAAAGGCGGCCAGGTGCCTGACACACAGCGGGTGATCAGGAACTGTCTGCCCCTTTCCCTCTCCCTCTTCCACCTAAAGCACCTGGCTGACTTCTCATTGCCACCAACAAGGCCAGTTCCCCTGAAGTTCAGATCGAGGATTGCTGGCTGGCTAGTCAATGGGAGGTGCCTTTTCATAGTAACGTGTCAGGAGGCGCTTTCAAGGGGTCCAGGGACATCCAGTAGGCATGGCCATATGGCCGTTCCATTTTCTGATCAAGAACGTTCCAGATCAGTCACTATGAGGAGGAGCTGGAGGAAAGCAATGGTGATGATCTCCGTAGGCATAATGGAAATAACCAACATCTATGGGGCACTTTCCGTGTACCATGCACTGTGCCAAAGCCTTCACCTACATTATTGCATCTACTCTCAGCAACAACCTTAGGTGGCGGCAACGATAATTCTCCCCATTTTGTGGGTGTGGGAATGGAGGCTGAGAGAAGCTAATTGTGTTCCCAGGTCTCACAGTGAGAGGGCGGCAGAGCTGGGATTCAGAGGCTGGCTGACTCCAGAGCTCACACCACACTGGCTCACCCCAGTGAGCTCTTCTCTGACCTCTGGGATGCCTGGCTTTGGGCTCTTATTAAGAGAAGCTGTCTCAAGAGGGATAACTCTGGTAAGACCCTACCTTCTGTGGGCCTCAGTCTCTCCGTCTGATCAATGACAGCATGGCTCTGATTTCTAAGAGCTTTCCAAGCTCCGAAATTGTGGAATTGGGGGACATGACCAAGAAGAAGTGCGGTCCTGGAAACTTTCAGGAGTGTGTGGCCAAATGACGATGCGGCGGAGGCAGGGGATGCGCCAGGCAAATGCTCAGAACACTGTCCTCCTCGCTGGGCCAGCGCTGGTCTTGAGTGGGTTCAGGGGCCTGCCCCAGGGCCTACTGAGTCTCCTCACAGCTGGGCCAGTCAGGCCTGGAGGCATTCGGGAGAAAGTCCATGCAGTCTTGCCCTGATCACACATAACCAGGTCTTGTGGGTTTGGCAAGAGATGGACAGAAAAGGTCCCCGGGAGCTGGCAGGAAGGACTGATAGGGAGAGGGTGGGAGGTCACGAAGGAGGGAGAGACATTTTTTTTCCAGAGCTGCTGGATGTGAAGTTGGGGACGAGGCCCAGCAGGAGAAAACTCTGGCTCAGCAGCCAAACCCAGGGGCCAGAAACCTTGTACAGCAAGAGCTGCCAGACCCGAGACTGGCTCATCCTTCAGACTGAACCAGACATAACCACAAGCTTAGCTGAGTAACCAGGAGACAAGGGCTTGGCTCCAAGTGCTGAGCCCAACCCTAAACATTTCCAAGGCTCCCCTCTCCGCTCCCCTCTGGGCCTGGTCCAGGCCCTTCATTATGTGACCCCTGTCACCTCCTTGGGCTTCCACCACAGTAAACATCCCTCAGTCCCTCAGACCCAGGCTCTTCCATGCCTCTGTACCTTTGCACATGCTCTTTTCTTGACATGGAATACCCTTCTTCCCATTCCCTGCTTCTCCCTTACAGCTCATCACTTCTTCTGGGTCCTCAAGGGCCATGTTCATCCGTCACCTCAACTGCCCTGCCACCCTGCTCACCTCCTGCTCTAAGCCACATCCTTCTTGAGGACAGGGACTGTGCCAGCTTGCCTCTACAGTCCCTGTGCCAGGGCTGATGGGACAAGTGCCCTCTCGCAGGAGAGTGGCAGCTTTGAGGTCGGTAGTCCTAGGATCGAGGCCAGCTCTACCCACACTCACTGTGTGATGCTGGTGAGCTCCTGCCCCGAGCCCAGGTTTCTGCAGGCGTAAAACGGAATCAGTCAGAATCATCCCCCCAGCGAGGCTGTGATGGGTGAGGTCAGAGAGAGCACTGTGTAAAGTGCTGCACAAGAGGAAGTGATGACTGACCTGTACGGACTTCAGAGTCCAACGGACTCGAGGCATCCCTGCACGCCACCCTTCTGAGCCTCAGTTTCCTTATTTTCACCACAAGGATGGCCATCCCCACACCCACAAAGTGCTTGGAAGGCATCAATCAGACAAGGTCCGTGACGCACCTGCCGTGAATGGAGTCGCTGAAGCAACAGCAGCTCTTGCTGTGAGCAGGACAATCTTGGCGGGTGTTCACGGGGCGCGCTCACCCACCACCAGTTCTGTGGGATTTTGTATTACACGCTACCATTTATTTATAAATCCATCTGGCCAGCTAGGCTGTCTGCACTACAGACCTGCCCCATGGTGCCCAGCACAGAGCCTGGCACACAGCAGATGCTCAGTCAGGAGGCAGAGTAAGTGGAGGTGTCCTGGAGGAGCGCCCCCCACCCTCTGCCTCCCCAGCAGACTCTCTAGGGGTGTGGCTGGGGAACCTGCTTCTTTATAAGCTTCCCAGGTGATTCTGAGGCACGCCGAGACGGTGCTCTGCTGGCCTGGAAGGTGTCTGGAGATCCTTCCAGCTGGAAGGCATGGGCTCAGTGTTCCTGGCCCACCACACCTGCTGACTCCTGGGGCTCCCTGCCTCCCTGAGCACTGCTACTACGATGTTTCTAAAAGAGGCCTCCATTCAATAGAACCAGAAAAATAAAATAAAATACAATAGGGGCGCCTGGCTGGCTCAGTCAGTGGAGCATGCAACTCTTGACCTTGGGGTTGTGAGTTCGAGCCCCATGTTGGGTACAGATATTACTTAAAAAAATAAAATCTTGGGGCACCTGGGTGGCTCAGTCAGTTAAGCAATGGACTTTGGCTCAGGTCATGATCTCACGGTTTGTGGGTTCGAGCCCCACACCTGTGCTGTCAGCAAAGAGCCTGGAGCCTGCTTCGGATTCTGTGTCTCCCTCTCTCTCTGCCCCTCCCCCCCCTCAAAAATAAATATTTTTTTTAATTAGAAAAATAAAATCTTCAGGGGCGCCTGAGTGGCTCAGTCAGTTGAGCATCCGACTTGGGCTCAGGTCATGATCTTACGGTTCGTGGGTTCGAGCCCCACATCAGGCTCTGCACTGACAGCACAGAGCCTGCTTTACATTCTCTGTCTCCCTCTCTCTCTGCCCCTTCCCCACTCATGTGCGCGTTCTCTCTCTCAAAAATAAATAAAATAAAATAAACTTAATAAAAATAAAAATAAAATCTTTAAAACTAAATCAATAAAACAAGAGGCCTCCAGGGCCTCCCCCCCTGCCCCAGGACAGAATCCAGACTCCCCCACTGACAGCCCTGAGCTCCCCACCTCTCACTGTCCCTCCCAAGCCTGGGTGCCAGCAATGTTGAACTGCTCAGGGTTCCCCGAGAGCCATGGTGGCTCATGCTTTCTCTGATGAACTCTGATTCAGTCTTCGGGCCTGGGGGCAGATAGTGCCTCCCTCCGGAAAGTCCTCCTTGTGTTTCTCCTGGGCTGTGCCCCCGCTCTCCAGCTCCCTGGCCTCCCCCATCAGTTTGATTACACTGTGTGTGCTTCCCTTCCAGGCTGTGACCGCCTCGGAGCAAGAACCATGCTTTTTCCTCATCTCTATGCTCCTGGCAACTGACTCGGGGCTACTGGGCAAAGTCAGTGCACAGCAAATGTCAGCTGAATAAATGAGGAAGTGTATAGGTTCCCATCCGGGCTCTGGGACCTGGAGCAAGCTGGGCCTCAATTTCTCCAGTCCTAAAACGAGGGGTTGTCCTAGGACAGAGGCTTGCAAGGCTCACTGACAGGTGTCTTGCCACTGAGAGGGAGATGGGGTTTCTACCCACTCTGTGGTTTCACCCAGAGCAGCTCTATCCACTTTTATCTGTGTTATAGGTTATGGAAAAAAATTTCTTTTTAAGTGTGAGGTGCTTAAAAACAAAGCTTTCAAACCACTGGCTGGGGCATACCTAAGCACCCTTCTGGATATTCAGTCCTGATGCTTGAGATAACCAGAGATCCCAATTACACAAAGAAGGCCCTGCCAGTTGACCAAGGTCACCCCCGGCCTGCTATTCCAGGCCTCCCCCAAGATAAGGGTATCCACTCCTAACAGACAGGGACAAAAAGGAGGAAGGAGGAAGAACGGGTATCAGGTGGGATGCAGGGTGGTGTGTGACACAAGCCTTTCCTGAAACCACAAGATTTGAGCCAAGTAACTAAATTCACAAATCTGAAAAAAAGAAGGCCACTTATTGGTGGGGGGCTACGAGGAGGCCTCTGGAGGGGCTGTGCACATAGAATGTGCCGCTCAAGTGACCACCTCGGGGGCCTGGTGGGGGCTGGAGTACGCTAGGCAGAGAGGATCTCCCACAGAGCAGCATGGGGCCTACCTGAGACCCATCCCTGGCAGGAAGGCTCTCACCCACCACACCCAACCTGGCTCCATTTACCTTCTCACCCCGGTTGGAGAGCGGCCCATCCATATCGGCTTTGAGGTGGACGGGGGGTGCGGTGTAAGGCAGCCGGCAGTGCACCTGCCCGCACTGTACCTGACCTGTGGACGAAAGGATGCCTTGGAACCCATCCTGCAGCCTCTATGCAGGATACCCGTGTGCCCTGTGCTCAGCAGGATGGAGTCCTGGGGCCAGTTTCACTTTGGCCACTTACCAGCTGTGTTGGCCCTGGGCAGAACTTCAACAGAGGGTTACGAAAATCCCTATAATCTATAAAGTGCTATGGGATAACTGCCCAGCTCACTGATAAACAAACGCTCCTATGTATTTAACATCTATATGCAAGGCTGTACCCTGTTATTAAGGTCCTCCCTTGGTGCCTTATACCTTCTTACCTGCCAGGTGTCACTCAGGCTTTACCTGTGTCCCTCCCAGAGGACCCTGCACTTGTACATCACCTTCTTAATGATGCTGTCCCTGATCACCCTGTTTATAACTGTACTCACCTCTACCCTCCCTGTCCTCCTTCCCAGCTTTGTTTCTCCTCCTTAGCACTTACCATCACCTGACTTACTGTAGATATCTATTGTTTACTTGGCATTATCTGTCTTTGCCAACTAGAATGCAAGGCCTAATAAGGGCAGGAATTTTTGTCTGACTCGAGAATTTTCCAGACTCTAGATCCTGATAGATGTCCAGTACCTAGAATGAGGCATGACACCTAGTAGGTCCTACACCTAGTAGGTACTCTTTGAATATTTCTGGCATGAATCTCTGTACCTTATTCCAACACCTAAAACTGTGGGGGGAAAGTCCATCCTCAGATCTGACCCGAATCTCTCATGTTTCAGTGCTTTACCACTACAGTGGAGAAGTCCATGGCCTCTCTCTTCCCTACACTTCTTCCCCTTTGGTCATAGGGGGGAAAAGCCCTGTACAGAGACTTAACAATCAATATGTAACTTAGGACAAGTCACCGTGCCTTTCTGAGTCACAGTTCCCTCATCTGTAGAATAAGGCAGTTGTATGAGATTGGGGATTCTTAACCTGGGGTATTCTAGGAGTCCTGCGATCACATGGAAAACGACATGTGTACGTGCATCTTTCTGGGGTCCGATTCCAAAGCTTTTTATCAGATTCCAAGCTCTAAGACCCCAGGAGACTCAGAATTGTGTAACTTTAGTTAACAGCAGAGCAAACTGCTGAGGTTGTCCTTCAGCCATGCAAGAGGGAGCAGGTCCAAACACTCTCAACACTTCCTGCCCCAAGCTGGGTTCCACCTCAAGGGGAAGAGGAAAGGGGACCTCAGCCCTTTCTCTGAGCGTCAAAGACACATCTAGGCTTGATTGGCAAAGTATGTGGGGAGTTCTAGCAGGACTCTGAAGGCCACGGCCCCACTCCCAAGAGGGTCACCTAGGTCCATTACCAACCCCATGGCAAGGGCTAGCTGGTAGCCCAGACTCCTGGTATCTAGAGAGTCCTGGGTCCTTGGCACCTTTAACAGATGAACTAGATGTTCAATGGGCTCTGTGCAGCTTGAACATAAGTCATTGTTTAGAAAAGAAAGGAAGAAAAGTCCCTCCTACAGAGCAGGTGGCTCAGAAATGGAACAGCGCAAACGGACATGGTTTCCAGCAGGCTGCCTGGTGCGGTAGGCAGGAATCTGCACTTCCAGCTGTGCCAGCCAGAGCCACCACCACCATTACAAGAGCGGTTAATAGTTACCCAGCATCTACTGAATGCTGGAGACTTGAAGTCAGTGATCTCATCTGATGCTCACACACTGCTCTGAGATATGGATTCTTATTGACCTCGTTTTTACAGATGAGGACATTGATATTCAGGGAAGCTACCAAGCTTGCCTGATGTCACACAGCTAGTAAGTGGCAAGGATGGCATTAGAAGCCTGACAGTCTCACCCCAAAGCCCACAATCAACCATTAAGGAACACTGCTCCTGTTCACTTACGTGGACCCTTGGTGTTCTCGTCTGCACAATGAGACAGTGATGTCTGATGTTTACAAACACGCTTAGTAGAGTGTCTGGCACATGGCCGGGGCTCAGTAAACAGCAGGGCTCTCTCTGACCCCTCCTTCCCTTTCCATTTTACTTGGAGCCAGAGAAGGGAGGATTCATGTTTGTGGGTATGTTGTGGCCACTTCTATTTTTCTGGTCACACCCAGCTTTGAGGAAACAAACAAGCTCAACGGGAATGGAAATCTGTAATAAGCACCTGCTCCCTAGCAGATTCACTGAATGTTCATCCCCCAGAAATCCACAAGGCTACTCCCTCTCTCCTTCAGGTCCCTGCTCAAAGGTCACTCCACCTTGGCCCACTCCATCATTCCCATGGCATCCAGTCCCACTGACATGCCAGCCCTCCCTCCTTTATTAGTTGATTGTCTCTCTACCCATGTTCCACTCCAGAACGTGAGCCCCCGGAGCACAGAGTTGGTTTGTTATGTTCTCCGCGGTATCCCCGTGCTTAGCATGGAAAAGTATTTACTGAACACATCAATGGATTCTCACAACCCTGTGAGGTAGGCATTGTTAATGTCCCAGCTTACAGATGAGGATTCTAAGGTTCAATGAGGGTAGGTAGGTGGGGATACTCCCACCACATGGGCCTTCTTCTGCAACCCCAAACACACCCATGCCACAATGCTTTCCCGGCTAAGGCCTGCTTGCATTCATCTCCTCTGCTGCCCTGCACTCCTGCCTCCCCTCTCCTGGTGCCTCACTAATTCCTATCCATCCTTCCACTCTCAGCTTGCTGAGAGGCGTCATCTCCACACATTCCTATATTCCTATATTCCAGCACTTTTCCTATAGCAATCATCACAATTAAAACCATGCCCTCATCTGTCTGGTTATCGTGCCGTGTTATCTCTCCCACGACAGCGCAGGTCCCACCAGAGCAAGCACTTTACCCGTCTTGTTCTCTCCCTAGCCCCTGGGCCCTCGCACACAGTGGGTACTTGGAAGGTGTGTTTTGAATGGCGGAATGGGTTTTCTCTATGAAGGGTCCTGTCTCACTAAGGCGGAGACTGGGAACTTAGCCCCTCTCCCCAAACCCTAGGTCTGAGGGACCACAGAGCCCACGTCTTCACCCACCAGGCTCCGAAAGGCCTTCACCCACCACGCCTCCACCTCCCGCGCGCGCTCCTCCGTGACCCCTCGCCCTCAGGCTAGGCGGTCTAGCTGTGGCGGTCACTTACTCTCAATGTAGCCGTGCAGGGTGACCATGCGCGCCCGCTCGGGGCTGCTGAACGGGGAGTAGTGGATGTCTTCGGACAGGGCGGAAGGGAGGCGGGACGGCGGCGCCCCGGAGGGCGGCACGGGATGCTGCGGTGTGTGCTTTTTATGACGCGCCCGGCAGTTTTGAAACCACACCTGGAACGACAGCCTCAGCAGCCTCAGCCTCGCGGAAAAGGGTCGGACACACCGCCGGGAGACCCCAGGCGGGACTGCCTCGTTGCCTCCTGGGTAAGGGCGGCCACGTGCGCCCGGGCCTGCGGCTCAGCTGGAGACCAGCAACGCGCTGGAGAGCCCGCCCCCGGCCCCCTAGGCCCCGCCCCAGACCCGAAGGCCCCGCCCTCCCTCGGCCCCACCTGGATGACCCTCCTGCTGAGGCCCGTCATGTCCGCAAGCTTCTGCAGCGTCTGTGCGTCGGGGTTGTTGTCCTGCGCGAACTGCGCTTGCATAACCTGACGGGAGCAAAAGGGACAGTGAGACAGGGACGCGCGGAGGTCTCCCAGACTGCGGCCCAATCAGAGGCTCCGGCCCGGAGGCCACGCCCCAGACAGCTACGGCCCCTCCCCGTCACCCGCGGGTCCGGGCAGAGGGGGCGGAGCCAGAGGTCCTCTAGGCCCCGCCCACGTCTACGCCCCACCCACAGCCCCGGCCACTCGCGGCGGGCGCGGGTACCTGCAACTGCTCAGCGGTGAAGGATGTCCGCGCGCGCTTGGCCGGCTTGGGCTGACTGTCCTGTTCCGAGGGCACTGCCCCCTCCAGCGTGAGGCCGTTCCCTGGGGGTGACAGAAGTGGCTGACCACGCGTCCCCATCTCTTCTAGTGGCATCCTGGAAAGGACGGGGGTGGGGGCAGCTGGTCCCTGGAAGGGTCAGGAGCGGAGTTGGCTGGGAGCGGGGATCCCAGAGTCCTAGTCCCTGAGCTCTGTCTTTAGGTAAGGGGCTTTCATTTCTGAGCGTCTACTCAGTACCAGACACTGCTCCTTCGGTGTGCCTTTTGGGTCTGTCTCACAGCCCCATTTTACAGCAGAGGAAAGAAACTCAAAGCTCAAAGAGAAGAAAACCCCTGACCAAGACCTTTCGCCTAGTGGTTGACCCTAGCGCCCCAAGGGGACTCCCTCTTAGCTAAACTGGGGAAACCAAAGGCCAGTGGAGGTTAAGATGCAAGCAGGTTACAGAACTGCGGTTCTAATTTTGTAAAAATGTATGGAAGCAGAAAAGTTGAAAGGATATACGCCAAGGTGCTAGCAGTGGTTACTTCTGAAGAGTGCAATTATGGCTCTAGTTTCAATATTTCTGTAAGTTTTGAGGTTGTAACAACAATCACATGTCCCTTTATTTCTCCAAGGTTTAATTTCGTTAACTGGAGCATATGTTAGCCATTCTCTTTCCACTTCTATTACTTTTACAATCACACTAAACATAGTCCCCCATTTTATTTTTAATACCTGATTATTTCTAGGTAATACATGCTCCTTCTCAAAAACTCAGAAAATTCAGGTAAGCACAAAGAAGAAAATAAAAATCACCAGTAATTCCAGCACTATTCACACAACTAGCTGTAATTTTTTTTAATTAGGAAGAAGACTATGTTGGGGGGAAAAAACAAACAAACATGCCACCATAAATACATGGGGGGAAATCTGGGAAGATATATACTAAAGATATGAGAGGTGGTGACATTTAGAGTGATCTTTATTTTCTTCTTTTTGCTTAACCATCTTTTCTAAATTTTCTATGATGGACGGGTGTGTTTAAAAGAAAACCAGTAACCAAAACTGAGGGTTGCTCAGTAAAGGAGATCTGAGGCCCCAAGCCTTCATGGTAGGAGTCTGGGGTCAGCCTAGATGTGAGAGTTAGCGTTGTAACTGGCCAGGCTGTGGGAAAGGGTGGCCCTGATAGGTCCAGATGTGGAAGAAGCCTGGGGTCACTGATGGGCCATGGTATGGGGGGGAGCCCTGATTCCTGAGATTCCATCCCAGCGCCACTGCTGACTTGCCCACCACTGCGGGTAATTTCATACAACCCCAGCCTCATTTGCTTCCCACCTAGGCCCACTTAGTCCTGATCCTGGCAGGAGAAAGTGATAGCCTTGGTGTGGCCATGGTTTGGAACATTCTGGGGATTCCTGACTAGTCCCCAGGCTAGAAATTGAGGCAGGGTGGTCCACACACCTCCCAAGAGGCCCTGAGGCTGGGACAGACACTTTGTGGTATTAATGTCCCTTAGGAGAACAAGGCAGGACAAGGATTGCTGTGCCATCTTTTAGATGGGAAAGTGAAACTTACAGGGGCAGCCACCTCCCAGCAGTCTCCCTTGCTTAATGAGGCCTGATTAAGCGGTCCCTGGAGCTCAGGAATGGGGTAGTATGGGATGGTGGTTAAAAGCCTGGGCTTTGGAGTTAAAACAGACCTTCTAGGATGCAACCTTTGGCAAATCACATACTGAAGATAACCTCTGCCTATTTCCTCATCTGTAAAATGGGGACACATCAGCTACTTCCTAAGGTTTTTTGTAAGGATCACACAAAATAGTCCACATTACAGAGAAGCTAGCAGCTTCCAAAGACCCAGACAGGAAAGTCATGGAAAGGGTCCCTGACTCCGCCTTCAGCCCAGCCTCCATTCCGCCCCCCCCCCACCCCTTTCTAACCATTTGTGACTCGGTCCTCACAATTCCTGGAAGATGTGAACCCTGTCTGCAGGCCTATGTGTCTTGAGGAGACACAGTATTGGAGCCAGAAGAGATTTAGGGATCTTTCTAGTTGACCCATCTCTCTTGCACAGATGGGGAGACTGAGGCCGAGATAAGAAAGGAAACTTCACATATCAGTACAGCATGCCAGCAGCCAAACTGGTGTCAGGTCTCCAGACTCAAAGGCCTTCTCCCTCACAGTGTAGACTGAACCCCGCCCCCCAAACCTCTGGCTTGGAGCTGCTGGCATGGGAGTTGGGAGAACAGAGTTGCATCATCTCTCTAGGACTGGCCCATGCCCAGTTCCAGACAGCCTGAAGGGATTAGCCCTCAGGCCAACCAGAACTGTCTAAAGGTGGAGTAGGCTGCCCCATTGTGAGAATCAGCTCTAGGGTTCATTGGGTGCTTCCTGCCTTTACAACACATGGGCTCATCTATCTTTGAGGAGGTGTCTTATCATTGGCTCCATTTTACAGATGAGGAAACAGTTGCAGAGACAGACTACCACTGCAGGCTCTCAAGCAATGGTGGGCCAAGAGCGCATGCGCCGTGCACGGCCCCACGCCCACTCAGTCTCCAGGCAATAAAGGAAGCGCCTGCTCCCAGAGGAGTGTGGTCAGTTCCTGGGGAGCTGGGCTGAGGTGGGAGAGGGCGGGGCACAGAGGTGTGGCAGGGTGCTGGGTGGGGCGGGTTGGGTACCGTTCTCGGCGGCCCTCTTGAGGTTCTCGATCATGGTGTCGTAGTGGATGCGGCACAGCACCTTCTCTTCGACCAGACCAAACTCCTCGCCCGTGGACAGCTGGCGCTTGCACGAAAAGCAAGCGAAGCAGGCCAGATGGTAGGCGTTGCCGCGTGCCCGCCGCACCCAGTCGCTGGCATAGATCTGTCGGCCGCACCGTGCACACTTGGTCCCAAATCGGCTGCGGGACACCGGGGCAGGAAAGGGGGTGGCGAAGCTCAGACAGGCTACCCCTTCCACCTCCCAGTGGCCCGCCGGCACCCTGCCTCCTGGCCTCCCTCACTCACAAATTTCCCTTTGCCTGGATCTGCCCCCTACCCCACCCCCCTGCAGACACCAGCTTACTCTGAAGGTGAGCTGGTGGGTGGTTTTATTTTCTTCTTAGTGCTTTTCTGAGTTTTCCAAACTTTCTACAATGACTCCTTATGTTTATATATAACTAATCTGTTATTCAAATATATCATGAGTGTTAGGGAAAATGTAATAATATAATAACGGGCAAAATTTTGAGCACTAACCACGTGCCCAGCAAGATTCTAAGTGTTTTATGTTGCGTATCCCAACTAATCTTCATTTTGCTGATGAGGAAACTGGGGACCAGAGAGGTAAAGTAAGTTGCATAAGGTCACACAGCTTGCAAGGCTAGAAACCCACGATGAATAAACCATACCCCAGCTGTAGAGATGCTCAGGGTTTCTTGGAAGCATAGACAGATATGCACTTACGGGCTTTGTGCCCTTGGGAAAATTATTTAACCTCTCTGAGTGCTCACTTTCCTTGCCCTGAGCTGAACTAGGTGACAACAGCAATGACTACCACTTAGTACTTAGTACTTTGAGTCTAAGTACTATTTGAGTCTAAGTCTATTAAGTACCCAGCCAGTCCCAGGCTCTGGAGCCCCATGGCATTCTAACAGTAAATGTTAAAAAGACAAAAAAAAAAAAGTGGGGGGGGGGAGGGGCAGATCGAATGCTTCCTCCCCCTTAAGCCTTCCTTGTTGGGCCTTTTCCCCATCTTCTCCCACCTCGCGGTGCAGCTATTTGGGTATGACTCCCTTCACCACCAGACTGCGAGCCCCTCCAAGAAGAAGCAGGAGTCTGGTTTATCCTGTCCCAGAAGTCAGCCCAAGGCCTGACCCCTGAGCACCTGGGAAGGTTTGTTCCTTAAGTGGATGACTCATCCTTTGACCCTGTCCCAGCCCTTTAAGTCTCGGTTTCCTCTGCTGCACACTCTTTCAGGGGATGATGTTACCACTCATCCAGCCCCCCAAGCTTAGAAACCTAAATCATTGACTCCTCCCTTTCCTCAACACTACATCTAACGGATCATCAGGCATTGTTGGTTCTTTTTCCTAAGTATCTTTGGGATCCATTTCGTCTCCAGTCCCACAGCTGCCCTCCTAGGCCAGTATCTGCCCTGATCTCCCTGCTTCCAGCACCACCCCTGCCAACCATTCCTCCACCCAGTGGCCACAGAGAAGTTTCCAGCACGCACGGTGCATCCTACCCTGCCCTGCTTAAAATCCTTTGCTGATTCCACTCTACCTCAGTATCTGGTCCAAGAGCCTTGGCATTTACAAAGCCCAGAAGACCATAACCTCTTAGACTCATCTCCTCCCTGACTTTCCCCACCCCACACCCAAACAGGAGTCCCAGGTAGCCACAATGGAAGGTCAGTGCCAGGTCTCTATGGCCCCCTCTGAAGCACTTTCCCGGCCCAGGTCTTTGCACAGACTTTGTGCTCTTCACACACCCCCTCCCTGCAGAGCCCTCCAGTCCCAGCACCGGGCTCTCAACATTGGTCAGGCAGGTTTGTAAATGTCAGATTCTTCGGTTCTCCCTCCCACCCCCTGCAATCCTAGGAGAGAACCAAGAAGATTTGCCCTGTGTCCCCAGGGCCCGCACACTTGCACCCGGAGGAGCATTGGGAAATGCTTGTGACTGTGGGGAGAAAACAGCCCGGCAAATGCACTCTGGTTACAGCCTCGCCTGTGTTGCCGAATGCAAGCAACTGTCAATTGAATAAACGATCTTGGGTTGAACTGAAAGAGGGAGCGCGGAGGCCTCCGCCAGCCCGGCTCCCAGACGTAACTCTAACGCCACTGTCTCTGACCAGGATCGCAGGAGGACCCTGTCCCTGGCAGCGCGGTTTGCTCAGCTAAGGCTGCACTGTGCGCCTTTGCTGGGTCATCCGCCCCTAAACTGAGGCGGCTCCCGACCTTGGAAACTCGGCTTCCCCAGGGACAGCCTAGTACAGCCCGCGGTTTCTTTCCCAATCCCTCAGTAAAGGGGAGAGGAAACCACTTAGCCCACCCCTGCCTACTCTCGCCGCGGGGCGGACTGGGGGTTCCGCTGCCTGACTCGTTGTACACGGATTAGGAGCACTTTCCGGCCCTGGAGAGGAGGGAGAAGCCAGCAGCGTGCAGAGCCATGAAAGCGATTCAGGGACCCAGGGCGCAAGGTCTTCATTGCACACCCTCGACTTGGTGCAACCGCGTGAGGTGGAGACTCTAGCACCCGCTTTGCACACGTGGAATGGGAGGTTCAGAGCGGACAAGTGACTTGCCCAAGACCACAAAGAGCGTGGGGCGAGGGTCGAGGTCCGCTCTGAGGTGCAAAAGGAACCTAGACCGTGCTGAAGCAGCAGGGCGGGAGATGGTAGGGACTGGATCCCAGTTGTATTAACTGGAAAGGGACCTGGTCTTACCCCCGTCGCGTCCCTACTCCCAGCCACCGGTCCCAGAAAGTCCCGCGCGTAGGGCCTGAGGCCCAGCGGGCTAGGGAAGGCAGAGTGCGTTCCCAGGGAGAGGGGAGAGCCGGGGAAGGGAAGGTCCCCGGCCTTCAGACTCCAGGTGAGAGCGGTTGCGTTTCCAGCCTGTGGTTTCCGTGCGCCCCCGCCCCGTGAGCTGCGCCAGAGTCTCCGACCCCGGGTCCCCGCGCTAGGCTGTACGGGATTCCTCGTCCTCCGCCAGAGAGGAGTCCACGACACCCCGCACACCCCTGATCTCGCGGCTCCCCAAGTCCGCAACGCCGGGGCGCGGTCAGCGCCTACACTGTGCACTGCTTACTCCGAGGAGGACGCCGCGAGTGATCTCTCAGCAACTTTCTCACCCTCCACATGTTACCCCAAACGACAAGAGCTGTCCCCAGCCCTAGGATCTGCCCGCGCTCGCCGTGGCTCCGCCCAGTCAACGAAATCACCTTTGCGAAGGATCCTTGGGTGGGGGTGGGGGTGGGGTCATTATGCAGTTTTGGGTGCGTTGCGGGCCGCTCCTGAAACGTATCCTCCACCCAGGGCAGGGGTCAGTGGCACAAACAAGGGGGCACGAGGAGGCTTACGGATCGAGGCTCTGACAAACCGATTGACTCCTTCCCAGGCGGGCAGCGAGGCCCGAGCCGCGGGATTCCGGAAGCAGCGAAATTGGCGGCGAGACAACGAAACTTCAAGAATGGGGTGCTCGGGAGCTGCGAAGGGAGCGCCAAAGGGATTAGGGGGCGCGGCTACCGCCCCTCCACCCCCAGCCTTGTGCGCGCGCCTCCCTGGGTCCCGGCGCGCACCGCGGGGTAAAGGCTCCAAGGACTGAGGCGCTCGGGGCATGGACGCTTCGCATCCTGGCAACTGCCGAAAGGAGTGGGGTGGGCATCGCGCGTCTCCTTGCCCTCTCTCCCCTGAGGAGGGACCAGAGCCGTCTGGGTACTCGCGGTTGTGCAGAGGGAGCTGTGCGCCCTTGGCCAGGGCAAACTCGCTCTTCTGGCCTACTTTCTCTGGATACCGAGAGGTGCTCAGTCATTATTTGCTGGGTGAATGAGCCTCAAACGAAAGAGCCTTTCCTCCGTGTTAAGCTACCCGAAGCTGAACCGAAGCTCGAGTGGGAAGGCCAATGTTAGTGATAAAGCTGGTGAGCCGGTGGGGAAACCCAAACCAGAATTCCATTATTTTACGTTCAGGACACTCACTTGCTGGCCGTGGGGAGATTCTAAGAGTCCAACAAGGTGGATTGGAGGTGGAGCCCTTCCTATCCCCTCTGCTCCTTCCCTTCTAGGCAAACTCTTAGGAGAAGAAGCTCAGAAAAAATAGAACCAGCAATTACGAGGTTAAAACGCCCCGCGCCTCGGAGGTCCCGGCCCTAGGCCCCTCCCCAGAACTCCTCTCTCCGCTCCCCCAACATCTGTCCCCCAACAGCTGGCGGCCGCTGGGCCGCTCTTTGCCGCGGTGGGGGGCCGCTTCCCAGCTATAAGCCTCCCTGGGGACCCTCGCTCTGGGGGAGGGGGTGGGTTTCTCCCGCAGGAGCCCGCGGTTGGAGCTTGGGCTCTAGGAGGAAGGCCAGAGAAAGCTGAGGGCTTGCCCTAAGTCACATGGGCCAAGCCAGGGACAGGAACTTCAGCCGGCTGCCCGCGCCCAGCCCAGGACACTCTCTGAACCCCACCCGTATCAACGCCAAGAGCCGTAGTTAACCCTTTATTCCCCACGCAAATGGGCAGGAGGCAAGGGGGCCGGGAACCATGGTGACCTGATCCTGACAAAATTGATCTAGTCACAGCCCCTGAGGAAGTCACTCTTGTCCTAGTCCTCCCAGGGCCCATCCAGGGAGAGTCACACACCAGAGCTGGTGCTCCCTGTGGAAGCCAACGGAACTGGGCTTAGGGCTTAGGGCCAGGAGAGAGGGGTCTTTGCCACTCCACCGGCCACATGTTGTAGGGAGAGCTACTGCTGACACATCTCCCCTATAAAAGACCAGTACAGAATGTTTAGACACAGGGATGGTGGTGTCCACAGCCATGGGGCTTACCCAGGCTCTGCCACTTACTAGCTGCATGGCCTCACCTCTCAGACCCTCAGTTTCCCCTCCTCTAAGGTGGGGATGATGAGAATATGGTAATTACCGGGTGGATTTGAGGATTCACTGGGATAAAGCATGCAATGAGTTAACAATTCCTGGCTGGAGCAGAGTTCTATACATTCTGGTGAGCAGTATCCTCACCCCTGCCCAGCCCCTCTTACCCCCTCTCACTGTGTGACCCTGGGCTCCACTTTCCTCTCTCCCCAGGACGTCAGTCTCCCCAGCCATGCAATGGGCATGATGCTTCAGGAAGCTGAAGGGGGAGGCACTGTAGATCAGTCCATGCCCTGGACTGCTGCAGGCAGCAGCGGCAGGTGTGTGTGTGTGGGGGGGGGGGGGCCCGGAGGTAGAGACAGCTGTCTGAGGTTGTGGTTGCTGAGGGCAGTGGAGATATGAATGGCCCAGGAAGGAATGCTATTTTTCCCTCAGGCCTTTTCTTCACTTCTTGGAAGGAAATAGAAAGAAAACGGTCTTAACCAAAAAAGTGAAGAAATTAAAAGCAATATCATATTTCCCTGGTGGTAATTTCTTTTTTTCTGCTAGGGCTCAGGGAGCAAGGGTTACTGGGAATCTGATTGAGGCCACAAGGGCTGCTGAGGTCCCTCTTTAGAGAGAGAGTTGGAGAAACTGAGGCAGGAGGGCTAGCAGTCTTGCTAAGGGCATCCTCTGTGCTCTGCAGTCTCCTTCCCCGGTGAGTTTGGAGAGCTTTCCTAACTTCTGACTTCCTGAGCCACCAACACCAGGCTCTGCCAAGGGAGACTATTGGGGGGGGGGGTGAAAAGAAGGGGCAAGATGAGGGAGAGAAAAGCGGAGAAACCTTCCCCTAAGGGATAAGACCAGAGATTAGAGGACCATGGAAGCCCCCTTGTGCCCCCTCCATGAGGTCTTGGCCACTTCCTCCCTCCCTCTGTCCCATTGAGAGATCTGGTCTCTCTTTGGGCAGAATGCTCCAGACCCTATCCCACCAGACCCTTGACCTTGGGTTTCAGGAGGCAGAGGGCTAGGGAAACTCAGTGCATGGCCTCTCCCTGAGCCCCAGCTCTTGAGGAAGAGGTCTGCCTCCCACGCCACCCCAGGAAAAACTCCCTTGCAGCAGCCACCCTGAGCCTGGGCTGCTGCTGAGAGCAGGCAATAGTCCATGCCTGGCGCTCCACGGCTTTTTCTTTCCTTTTTTGTGGGTTTTGTTATTTTTGTTACAGGTGGCACTGTCGGGGATGGGTTACGCCTGCCGGGAGACTTGGCTGGGATAGAAATGATCAGGAGAGCCCCAATTCTTCCCGCATCCCAAGGAATGTGAGCTTTTATCCCGTCCATTCTCTTACCTCAAAATCTGTTTTAGTTTTGCTTTGGGAGGCTCTTGTCACTGGAAAAGGATTAACGCTCAGAACCTGCAACCTAGAAAAGGCCTGGCCCCATCCTTCCAGACAAGCCCTGCTCCCCCAACCACCAGAGGAAATGCTATCAGGGGACTGTGCCCAGCACCCACTCTGCCAGTGGTGTCAATGGTGACAATCCAGGCATCCGTAGCACCTGCCATTTAGGGAGGCGCTACGGAGCCTTTCTCCCTGCACTGGCCTCCTTGGCAGTTCAGACAGACAATCCTGGAAGTTGGACACTGAGGGCAGAGAGATGTAGTTACTTGACCAAGGTCACACAGTGATTGTTGACCTAGCAGACCCCACTTACTGCCCATACTCGCAATAGCTACACATCCCACCACTGCAGTGGGAAGGAGGACTCCGGAGCCAGTGGAGGCTCTGAACAGCAGGGTCAGGACCTGAATTTTGACTCTTCCTTGAAGGCCTAGTAAAGCACAGTGTCCCAGAAGACTTGGTCCATCCTGGGCACGAGCTGAGGCTGGAGAAACAGTGAGGAAGTGTGGACAAGTGGTTCATGAAGCTGCCAGGTCCACCATCACCGGGAGGGCCCGGAGAGGAACCTAGCCCTGCCTTACTCTGCAGGAGGAGGCTGAGATACCATCCTGCTGGGTGCCCCGGGCGGGAGCCCTGTCCCTGGCCAGCTGAGGAGCCCCATGAGCCCTGAAACAGCAACTGGCTTGGCTTTTGGTTTCTTATTTGTTTTTTTGGGTTTTT